GCTATATGTTAGGGATAAAATTATGACCAAAACCAACATGGTACCGGTCTTCATGGCCATAGAAGTTGGTGGCCATTTCTTTTATTTATTTGTTTTACAGTTAAAACATTTTCTTGGCCAGACACGGTGGCTCACACCTGTAATCTCAGCAGTTTGGGAGGCCAAGGCGGGCAGATTAACTGAGGTCAGGAGTTCGAGACTAGCCTAGTCAGCATGGCAAAATCCCATCTCTACTCAAAATACAAAAATTAGCTGGGTGTGGTGGCACATGCCTGTAGTCCCAGCTACTTGGGAGCCTGAGGCAGGAGAATCGCTTGCACCCAGGAGGCGGAGGTTGCAGTGAGCCGAGATCATGTCATTGCACTCCAGCCTGGCAACAGAGTGAAACTCCATCTCAAAAACAAAAGATTTTGTAATCTGGGTGCTCCAATGTTGGGGACATATATATGTAGGATAGTTAAATCTCATTGAATTGAACTCTTTATAATTATGTAATGTCCTTCTTTGTCCTTTTGTTACTGTGGTTGGTTTGAAGTGTGTTTTCAGATACAGGAATAATGACCTGTTCTCTTCTTTGTTTTCCTTTTGCTTGGTACATCTTTCTCCATCTCTTTACTTTGCGCCTATGGGTGTCACTACATGTGAGATGGATCTCTCAAAAACAGCTGAAGGTTGGGTCTTGTTTTTTTTAATACAATTTGCCCCTCTATGTCTTTTTTTTTTTTTGAATGGAGCACTTAGACCACTTACATTCAAGACTAATACTGATATGTGTGGTTTTGTTTCTGTCCTAGGGAGGTTAGCTAGTTGCCTTGTAGTCTCAGTTGAGTTGCTTCATAGGGTCTGTGGGCTTTGTATCTACTTGTGCTTCTGTTGTAGCAAGTATTATTCTTTCATTTCCATGTTTAGAACTCCCTCGAGCGTATTGGCTATTCATTGCTTTTTGTTTCTTGTAGGAGAATTCCCATTTTTCTTACATTCATACACATGTGAAACTCATGAGTATCAGACTGCGCCCACACTTTGATCTGTTGCCATGGAGTTACGCAAAGCCAGGACAGCCTGCATCATCTTGCATACATCGGAAAATAACATACGTGCCATTTTCTTTAACTCTTTTTCCTGCCCCGATCCCACTCTCAGCATCTCATGCCTACTTCTCCTTTCCCAGATAAGCCATATTTTAAAATTGATGACTGTCCTTCAGTTTTCTCATAATCAGGTATCCTAGACACACATACATGAGGCAGACTCACATGCACACGTGCACACAGGACTTGCTTTTCTGCTATCCTTTGTTTTTTATATACACTTTTCTGCATCTTACGTTAGTTACTCAAACATTTCCTCAGGAAATGGAGTGATCTGCTCCAAGTCATCTGGTGTGACTCAATTTTATTTTAATGGTTGCACAATATTGTATGGTATGGCTGTATCATTATTTATTCTGCCATTTCCCTATACACAAGGAATTCTCTTTTTACCCGTTCTTGGCCACTACAGCACAATACTGCAACAAACATAATGTGTTCATGAACTGGATACATTTGTTTTTATGCAATAAACTCCTGGAAGTGCAATGCTGGTTCTCAAAGGGTATATGATATTTTGAATTTTAATAGATGTTCCCAGTTGTGTTCCAAGTCTTCTTAGGAAGACTTCTAAAGGAATGTAACATGTCATATTCCTTTAAGCAGTTATTAAAGTGTCTTTCCGGCCGGGCGCGGTGGCTCAGGCCTGTAATCCCAGCACTTTGGGAGGCCGAGGAGGGTGGATCACGAGGTCAAGAGATTGAGACCATCCTGGTCAACATGGTGAAACCCCGTCTCTACTAAAAATAAAAAAAATTAGCTGGGCACGGTGGCACGTGCCTGTAATCCCAGCTACTCAGGAGGCTGAGGCAGGAGAATTGCCTGAACCCAGGAGGCGGAGGTTGCGGTGATCGCGCCATTGCACTTCAGCCTGGGTAACAAGAGTGAAACTCCGACTCAAAAAAAAAAAAAAAGTGTATTTCACTCAGACCCCTGAGAACAATGAGTTTGAGAGTTCTTTTTAATTTTGCCAGTCTGACAAGTATATGCTGATATTTTATTGTTGCTATACTTTGCATTTTCCTAATTACAAATGAATTTGAGCATCTTTTTCTTTTTTGTTTTTGTTTTTGTTTTTGTTTGAGACGGAGTCTTGGTCTCGTTACCCAGACTGGAGTACAACAAATGGCGCGATCTCGGCTCACCGCAACCTCCGCCTCCTGGGTTCAGGCAATTCTCCTGCCTCAGCCTCCCGAATAGCTGGGATTACAGGCACGCACCACCATGCCCAGCTAAGTTTATTGTATTTTTAGTAGAGACAGGGTTTCACCATGTTGACCAGGATGGTCTCGATCTCTTGATCTCGTGATCCACCCGTCTTGGCCTCCCAAAGTGCTGGGATTACAGGCGTGAGCCACCGCACCCGGCGAGCATCTTTTTATATAGTCTCTAGCTATTCATTCTGTAAATTGTCTATTTAAACATACTGCCTAGTTTTCTATTGCTTTTTCTGTCTTTCGTCAATTCGTTAGAGCTCTGTGTATTATAGAAATTAACTTTTTGACATCTGTATTACAAATATTTTCCAAGGTCTATTATTTATCTATAGACTTATTTATGGAAATATTTTTTACAGAAAAACTAAATTTTTGTGATGCTAACTACATATTTTTGTGTTTGCTATGAGAATAAAATTTATTTTTTCTTCCAGATAGGTATGCAGTTATACCAATGCCATTAATTTCCCTCTGAAATGAACCACCACACTTGCCTTATGTTAAATTCTCATTTATTCTAACATCTCATTCTAGATTGTCAATTCTATTCCACTGACCTACTTATATCAGTGTAAATAAACCATAAAAGGGAACTGATAAATCTTAACTATTTGTAAATAAGAACTGCAGTCCCAGATAACACCAGGATCAATGAGGAAATTTAAAAAGAAATTACTATCTAGAAACAAAGAAAAAGAGAATTACTGAAATAGGAAAATCACAGGGCATATAATAATGAAGTATGTGATTAGAATAGTCTGCATGTGTATATAAATACCATGTTGGTTTTATTACAAGGGCTTTACTGTGTATATTGTAGAGGAATCAGATTATCCCTCATTCCGCTCTTTTCTCATAATTTTCTTAGTTATTCCTGAACATTCTACCGCACATAATTTAAGATATTTTTATCGAGTTCTAAATAAAAACCCCATCAATATTTGCAATTAAAATTGAAATATGTTATATATCGATTTGGGGGGATTGTCTTTATCACGTAATCCTCCCATCCAAGCATGCATTAGGCCTCTCTATTTAGTCAGATCTTACCTCATGTCTTTTTAGTAAGATATTTTAGATCTTTTCATAGAGATTCTGAGTTTCTACTGTTAAATACATTTTTCACTATTTTTAATGATATATTCTTTCCATTCCCAGTACTAGGTGCTTATTGCAGAGTGATGAAAAATATTGATTTTTATACAATTATCTTATATCCAAATTCATTCATTAAATCCAGTAGAGTTTTATCCCAAGATTCCTTGATATAGAGGAATTCTACTATAGTATCTTATTAGTAGAAAAGAGAGATGGTTTTATCTATTTGTGCTCCAGTGCTTATGCCAGTTATTTAATTTTCTTGCCTTATTTCATTGCTAAGACTGCCCAAGTAATGTTAAGTAGTGGTGATTACAAGCTTCCCTCTTTCTAGGGTTTTCTGTAATTGAAGTTACCTAAGTGTTTTTCACTTTAGGATAATATTCACTGTTGGTTTTGATAGTCTTTATATTCAAGAGTTTCCCTCTTTTTATTCCTATTTTTATTAGGAATGATTGATAAATTGAAGCTTTTTGTCTGATGTTTTTGACATTTACTATTGTGTTCATGTGGTTTTTCTCTTTTAATGTATTGATGTTTATTTTCTTTTCTACTTTTTTGGTTTCCTATTTCGGTGATTCTCCTTTTCTTTGTTTCTACATAGCAATTTCTTTTTAAATTACCTCCTTGATCCTGGTGTTATCTAGGGCTGTGGTCCTTATTTATAAATAGTTCCTCATTGTGGAGTTCTCCCTCAATTACTTTATTTTGAATAACAAAGTACTGCTTAGGGAAGGCTCATGAGTCAAAGGGAACCCAGGTAGTGCTGGCAGGATTCTATCAGGAGGTCACTTGATAGAATCAGTTTAAAATGAAGCAAAACAAATGTAGCACCCAGTTAGTAATTAAAATTACATTGTGATATATAATATAATAATTATATATATATATTTGATCTGTCATTCTTCACTAGAATGTTAAGTTCTAAATAGGCAGAAACTTTGTTCACTTGTATATTTCTGTGCCTAGAACAGTGCCTTGCACATGGAAATTAATAAATATTCTTGAATGAATAAGTAAGTTCATATTCTTGGGGATATGAACTCACAATTGCAAGTGTTGGAAGTTGATGACCTTCTAAAGATCACTTTTAAAAAAATGACAGTAGAATAAGTCATTTATCCTGGAGAAATAACAATTTATTTTCATGTTCATAGCAGCTTTGTTTATAATAGCTAAAAACTGGAAACAGCTCAGAAGTCTTTCAATAGCTAAAGAAACTATAATACATCCATGCCATAGAAAGCTACTAAAAGTCAAAAAGAATGAACTATTTGACACACATGATTCAGATGAATCTCTAGGCAATTAGGTTGGATTTTTGTAAAAAAACTAATCCCAAAAGTTTACGTAGCATCTGATTCCATTATATTACATTTTTGAAATGACAGAATTACAGAAGTAAAGAACAGATGAGTGGTTCCCAGGGGTTAGGGACAGCTGTGGGGTGAGTATGGTTATACAAAGCAGCAGCAGGGATCCTCGTGACTCAACATCTTGGCTGTGATGGTGGACACACGAACCTACATATTGGTGAAACTACACAGAGTTAAACACACATACACACCACACTCACGCACATACAAATGAGGACATGAAAATCTGGGGAATTCTAAGTAAGATCAGTAGATTGTGTTTGGTAGAAAGTCCCGCCATCTTTCCCCCAGGTTTCTTGCCCCCACCCTCCCCCCAGGCTTCCTGCTGCCCTGAGAAAAGCCCGCCAAGCCTGCTCTGTTCTGCCCAGCAACAACAAGCAGCCAATCATCGCAGCAGGAAAGCCCGCCAAGCCTCGGCCTATCCTGAACCGACACGTAACCCTCTGAGCCACCTCAGCAGTCTGCCCAGAGACGGACAGCTTATCCTAAGCTCCTACGACACTCCGCCAGCCCTGTGTCCACGCCCCGTCCACCCCCCCTATAAAACCCTCCTACCCCAGCTGCGCAGTCGCAGCCAGCCCCGATCTCCTTCCTTTCCTGGCCTGCCCGCTGGTCCCAATAAACCTGAACTCGGCTTCCAACTCTCGAGCTGTTATTTGGGGTCGGGTACTGGGCAGGGGTCTACAAGGGGGTTGCACATATGGTGCCGAAACCCGGGACGGAGGGTCGCTAGCCCCCCTAGCGACCCCCTCCCTCCAGCGACCTCCCCAGCCCTCCTCCAATTCGGCCTCAGCACTCCGGACCAGGTAAGTCCTGTTTCTTACCTTCTCCTTCCGTGGTGCGTGTGGCAAAGGCCCTTTCTCTCAGTCCCAATCCACGGATCCCTCACCAAGCGCCGGCCGGCCCAAGCAGGATCCCCCAACCAGGCTCCAGGAGCCTTGGGTCGGCAGACAAGGGATGCCTTCTCTGACCCACCCAATCCAAAACCATTAAATAGGAACGATCAGACAGGGGACGCCTTCTCTGGTCTTTCCTATCCACCTTCCTCTGGGGAAGCTGGTGGGTTGGAGGGACGCCTCCCCCCACACTACCCCAGCCCACTCGGATACTGTTCCGAGCTCGGATACTGTTCCAAGATCCCCCTCGGCTGGCAGGAACCCTTTGCCGCACGCATCATGGGGAGCGTGGAGTCCAAAATTCCTAAAAACGCCCCACTAGGTTGTTTACTTCTCGACTTTACCCGCTTGGGCTACTCCCAAAACCCTTAGGCGGAAAAAGCTTGTCTTCCTCTCCCAGGTGGCCTGGCCCCAGTATCAGCTCGATAACAGGTCGCATTGGCCTTCCACCGGCACTTTCGATTTCAATGTGCTCCGCGACCTAGATAACTTCTGCCGCCGAACTGGCAAAGATAAGGAAGTGCCTTATGTTCAGGCTTTTTGGGACCTGCGTTCCCATCCTGACCTCTGCTCTTCTTGCTCTACTCACCAAGTTCTTTTAGCCTGAACTCCCCCACCGCAGACTCCTACCTCCCCAACCAAGCCACCTCCCTATACTCTACAGGAAGAGATGCCTGACCACATGTCTTCCCCCCTTTGTTCCCACTCCGGAAGTCCACTACCTCTCCCCCTCCCTACCCCTCACCGGAGGATCTGCCTGAACATCTGTCCTCTCCTGCCAATCTCAGCAACCAGTCGCCATCAACGGCACGCTCTTCCTCTGCTCCCTCTGCACCTCCTACCTCAGAGGCCATGCCTCGCTCTCCCTCTACTCCCTCCGAGCCCCCTCCCTCAGAGGCCGCACTTCCTCTTGCCTCTCCGGTGGCGGCCCACACCCGCTCCCACCAGCCAGCTATCCTGGCCCCACTCCGAGAAGTAGCAGGTGCAGAAGGTTTAATCAGGGTCCATGTTCCTTTCTCACTCCAAGACCTGTCCCAAATTGAGAAATGTTTAGGATCCTTCTCAGCCGACCCGTCCACCTATATTAAGGAATTCCAATACCTCACTCAAGCCTACAGCCTCACTTGGCATGATATTCGCGTTATCTGTTCCTCTACCCTCACAGTGGAGGAGCACGAGCGCATCCTCGCTGCAGCCAGAAACCAAGCAGATAAAGACCATGCTATAGATAACCAGATCCCCCTAGGCCCCGAAGCAATCCCAGGTGAAGACCCCCAATGGGACTATCAGGCTAATCGAGGGTCTGATATACCCAAGAGGGACCGCATGATTAGATACCTCCTCAGGGGAATGGATGCTGTATCTAACAAAGTTGTAAACTATGATAAACTGAGAGAAATCACCCAACTACCTGATGAGAACCCCACCCTCTTTCTCGCCCACTTGTAAGAAGCCCTAGTCCGGTATACTCGACTAGATCCAGCCCCTCAAAATGGGGCCACTGTATTAGCCTCCCATTTTATCTCCCAATCAACACCCGACATAAGAAAGAAACTAAAGAAAGCAGAAGAGGGGCCAGAGACTCCCATCCAAGACCTGGTAAAAATGGCCTTTAAAGTATTCAATGCCAGGGAAGATGCGGCTGAGGCTGCCCGCCAAACTCGCATGAAGCAGAAGGCTGCCCTCCAGACCCAAGCCCTAGTGGCGGCTCTAAGGCCGGCAGGGAACCAGAAGCCCAAAGCCGAAACCCATGCCCCTCCGGGAGCATGTTTTAAATGTGGAAAGGAAGGACACTGGTCCCGAGCCTGTCCACAACCACGGCCACCAACTAAGCCTTGCCCTATCTGTCAGCTCCCGGGACACTGGAAGTCAGACTGCCCCAGCTTCCCCAGGGTGCCGGTTCCTCAAAACAGACACACTGGCATTACTCAGCCGGCAGTCACCCTCAGTAGGGAGGAGCCTGCTTGCCAGGAGCCGACCTCCGAGGGAACTCCATTCCCCAGGCTATTAGGGCTGCTAGACGACTAGCGGGGCCCTGGCTTTCCGACTCCGTTTACCCTTGCCGAGCCTAGGGTCACAAGACATGGGGGCTACCTCCTCCGCTCTTCCTTCTTATTCTGGCCGTCTCACCCCTTCCCAGGTCTTGGTCATGGGAATCGACGGGACCCCGAGTATCCCCTACCAAACCCCACCACTCATGTGCTCATATAACTCTACTCCATTTACCCACTCTTTTTAGTAATCCCCACCTGCCCAGTTCCCCTTCTGGGGCGAGACATCCTTTCAAAGCTGAAGGCCGTCATAACCTTCCCCACCGCCAGCCCACACAGCCTCTTTCTCCTAGCCCTCAATACTCTGCCTCAGAATTCCAGACCCTCCAGTCTACCCCCGGGGTACAGTTCAAGGATGACTGGGCCTTCAAGCATAACCTCCTCATCCTCCCCAAAAAGCAAAGGTACCAGATAATCCAAGACATTCATAATTCACTCCACATTGGGCCTAAAGCCTTATACCGGTTCCTCAACCCACTTTTTCATCCTCACCATCTCCTCAGTACCATACAGGAAGTCCAGTCCTCCTGTACTGTCTGTGCAAAAACTAATTCCCAGGGTTCCTGTCATCCTCGGCGCCAGCTTTATCAGCTACGCGGGTTCCTACCTGGCCAAGACTGGCAAATTGATTTCACCCATATGCCAAAGCATAAACAGTACCGGTATCTGCTAACCATTGTTGACACTTTTTCAGGCTGGATTGAAGCTTACCCCACAGCCTCTGAGTCTGCCGGGACAGTAGCCACTCATCTCATTCAAGACATCATCCCACGCTTTGGACTCCCGGCTACCATACAGTCAGACAACGGCCCAGCCTTTATCTCCAAAGTCACTAATGCCATTTCTACCTCTTTAGGAATTCAGTGGAAGCTACACGCCGCCTACCATCCTCAGTCCTCTGGTAAGGTGGAACGGGCCAATGGCCTAATAAAGGAGCATCTGACCAAGCTCATGCTTGAGCTCTGCCAATCCTGGGTAACCTTGCTTCCTATCGCCCTCACCAGGTTAAGAGCAAGCCCCCGGGGCCCATCACAGCTTAGCCCGTTTGAGTTGCTGTATGGTCACCCCTTCCTACTTTCAACTCCCCCACCACCAGAGACCACTCCTCTAGACAGCTACCTCCCCTACTTTACTCTCCTTCGCAGCCTTCTCCGAGAACACGCCAACGCTTCTCTTCCCCAACCCACCCAGCCATCTGAAAATACACAGAAAGTCTCCCCCGGGGACTCAGTTCTTATCAGGTCCCTCTCCCCAAAGCCCCTCGCCCCCAAGTGGGAAGGACCATACACAGTCCTCCTTACCACTCCATCAGCTATAAGAGTTGCTGAAATCTCATCTTGGGTCCACCTGTCTCGGGTAAAAAAGGCCCCTCATGGACCCTCCTTATGCTGGAAGGCTGTTCCTACTGGCCCTTTATCTGTCAAACTTACCAGGGCCTAGCAGCCACACCCCCTACAGATGGAGATTCTTCCTAACTGAAAACTATACCAAAACCACCTTCATCTGTAATACCCCCCCATACAGCCACAACCATCTTCTTGCAACTTCCAACTGCCCCGCAGCCGGATGCCAAAGGGCCATATATCTGAACTTCACCAAATTCCATAACATCCATACTGATATACCTCTCATGTGCTTCAACCATGAACAACCATCAGGAGCATGCAATAATACTCCTTGGCGCTCCTGCATGGGATGTACTTGGATGAGCTGTCAACTACATATAGCCGTCAAGTCCACAGTACCTGCCTGATCTCAGCTCAAAATCATCCCAGACATAGATGGAGAAGGAAACACCATTATCGGTTCTACACGGTATTCCATTCTCATACCTGACCCCTGGGACAACCGGTGGAAAAGCCCCCAGAAAGCTGCCGTGTATGACCACATAGATACCAAATATCCCTCTTCCCACCTGTACATCTGGCGGGCATACGTACGTACAGTCCACCAAGTCCACTCTGATATTAGCCTACAAGAAAAATCTCTGAATGACCAATTGCAACCACATTCGTCTCCATTTTCCTGGTTAACTTTTCTCCAAGAAGGAATCAAGTTAGCTAACCTCTCAGGACTAACTGACCTAACTTCATGCCTCATGTGTGCCTTCTTAGGACAGACTCCCTTCGTTGCAGTCCCTTACCCCATCCCTCTCAACCTTTCAGCCTCAACTTCTTCCTTCTCCCCCATCAGGGAAGTCGATCTCTACACTCCACCTGATTTTGAACAGCTACCTGTGTGCTATTCCCTAGGCCGAAACTTCCCTAGCTGTAACAGAACTATACTGGTAACCACTAATATAACAGCCCCACGAGGAACGTTTTTTTGGTGTAACAGGACCTTAACAAAAACTCTCTACATCGGTCTTTCCTCATCTCTTCTATGCCTCCCAGTAACCCTAGTCCCTCGACTCACTATATATTCTTCAGCCGAATTCCAGATGCTGCAAGCTCCCCATCGCCACACCTGACGAGCTGCCTTCCTACCCATTGCCGTTGGAGTCTCCCTTGCTGGTTCAGCACTTGCAGCAGGATTAGGGGGAGGGGCACTAGTCCACTCTCACCTGGCCATAGCCCGACTGACCTCACAACTCCAAGCGGCTATTGATGACTCTACTGAGTCTTTAGCATCACTCCAACAACAGATCACCTCAGTTGCCCAAGTTGCCTTGCAGAACCGAAGAGCCCTGGACCTGCTCACTGCTGAACGAGGAGGGACCTGTATCTTCCTACAAGAAGAGTGCTGTTACTACATCAATGAATCCGGCCTAGTAGAAACCCGAATCGAGAGCCTCCAGAAACTCAAAACTAACCTGCAGAGTCAGAAGTTCTCAGCTGAAGCCACAGCGTGGTGGTCTTCCTCTATGTATACCCTCTTGTCCCCATTGCTTGGGCCCCTAGTAGCCGTTTGCCTAATCTTACTTATTGCTCCTTGCTTTCTACAGTTCATACAGCGGCGCTTTCAAGAACTGACTCGAGTCACCATCCACCAGATGCTGCTCCAACCCCGCCCTGAACGAGTGCAAGAAACAGACCTCTCCCTGAACATCCAGGCTTCTTAAGAAAAGAGACCTCTTCAGAACCCCCCGTCGACCCTTGTCAGCAGGAAGTAGCCAGATCGATTCCGCCGCCCTTTTTCCTTTTTAAGGAGTCGGGAATGTTCGGTAGAAAGTCCCGCCATCTTTCCCCCAGGTTTCTTGCCCCCACCCTCCCCCCAGGCTTCCTGCTGCCCTGAGAAAAGCCCGCCAAGCCTGCTCTGTTCTGCCCAGCAACAACAAGCAGCCAATCATCGCAGCAGGAAAGCCCGCCAAGCCTCGGCCTATCCTGAACCGACACGTAACCCTCTGAGCCACCTCAGCAGTCTGCCCAGAGACGGACAGCTTATCCTAAGCTCCTACGACACTCCGCCAGCCCTGTGTCCACGCCCCGTCCACCCCCCCCATAAAACCCTCCTACCCCAGCTGCGCAGTCGCAGCCAGCCCCGATCTCCTTCCTTTCCTGGCCTGCCCGCTGGTCCCAATAAACCTGAACTCGGCTTCCAACTCTCGAGCTGTTATTTGGGGTCAGGTACTGGGCAGGGGTCTACAAGGGGGTCGCACAGATTGTATCCATGTCAATTTTCTGGTTGTAATGTTGTGCTATAGTTCTGCAAAATGTTGCCATTGTTGAAAGCTGGGTAAAGGGATGATAGTATTAATTTAAAAATAAATAAATAAATAAATAAAGAGGGTCTCACTCTGTCGCCCAAGCTGAATTCCCTGCAGCCTCAAATTCCTGAGCTAAAGTGATCCTCCCACCTCAACCTTAGCCTCTTGAGCAGCTAGGACTACAGATCACTTCTTTTATTTATTTATTTATTTTTGAAACAGAGTCTCACTCTGTCGCCCAGGCTTGAGTGCAGTGGTGTGAGCTCAGCTCACTGCAGCCTCCACCTCCTGAGTTCAAGAGATTCTCCTGCCTCAGCCCCCTGAGTAGCTGGGATTACAAGCATGTGCCACCATGCCCAGCTGATTTTTATGTTTTTAATAGAGACAGGTTTGTTGTACCACGTTAGCCAGGCTGATCATGAATTCTTGACCTCAAGTGATCCGACCACTTTGGCCTACCAAAGTGCCAGAATTACAGGCGTGAGTGTATCACTTCTTAAAACAGCATATGGCTATAAAATTGTTTTAAAATAAAAAGGTTTTAAATAAAAATAATATAACAAGTAGTTAGGTATATATGTATACAGGGCATGTTGCCCTGCCATTATGGGAAGGGGAAGTGTACCCTGGATAGAATTTCCAGCAATAGTATGAACTCATATTTAAAAGGCATTGCACCTCACACAACCTAGTGACAGTGAGGATCATGAGCCCCTACGATTACGTCAGGTAACTTAGAAAATGGCTCTAGTTGATTACAGTGCCATTAAAGTAAAGCGACTCAGAGAAACTTGAATAAAATTATTCTTAAAATGTGAGGATCGAATAAACTACTATTTCCAAATTAACGTATTATCTAGTATATGAAATTTTAAATGTGGAAAACTAAATGAATAAACTATTATAGGTAGACATTTGACCATTGCACTTACTTTCCTAAAACTTGACTTTTTCAAGTTTTTAGAAACCTTTTTGTTGGGAAAATGAAAAAGTCACCTTGTGTTCAGGATGGCCTATATATTTAATATAGAATATTACTGGTGAGAAAACAGGCTCACAGAGGTGGTGTGAGTGTTTAGATGCTGCATGGTGTTAAAGTGGCAGAGCCAGGATGAGAACCCAAGTCAGTTTAAGGCAAGACACAGGATTCTCATGGGCCTTTAATTTCTTTACCGACAAAATCTGATGAAGACTTTCTATAAATCCCCTCTCAATGATAACTCAAAGCAATTCCCTCCTCCTCGTTTGCTGAGCCACAGTGCAGCCTGATTTTAATTTTCATATTGGATCACGTGGGGTTTTTGGTTTTTGTTTTTGAGACGGAGTCTCACTCACGGCTGGAGTGCCACGGCGCGATCTCGGCTCATGGCAACCTCCGCCTCCCAGGTTCAAGCGATTCCCCTGCCCTGCCTCCCGAGTAGCTGGGACTACAAGCACGCACCACCACTCCCGGCTAATTTTTGTATTTTTAGCAGAGACTGGGTTTTCCCGTGTTGGCCAGACTGGTCTTGAAATCCTGACCTCAAGTGATCTGCCTGCCCCGGCAGCCCAAAGTGCTGGGATTACAGGCATGAGCCACTGTGCCTAGCCACGTGGGTTTTCAGAGGGGTTTCCATTGTGCTGCACATAGGTCTTTCATGTTTCCCATGCACATTTCACGTGGAGTTACAGGACCTTTGAATACGGGTATGTGCTTTGAAATATACTGTGCAAATACCAGAATCTTCCTAGAACCATGGGACCTGGTGGAACTCAAAGTCAAACCAAACCCCAACTGAAGACGCTCCTCAGTCTCCCTCTGGAGGCCCAATGAAGAATCTGACGTCTGACATCAACAGGAGTAAAAACAATGTGTGATCTAGAGTAGGTATCGGGCAACTTTCCTGTAAAGGGCCAGGTAGGAAATACTTTAGGATTTTGGGAACCACACAATTTCTGTCACAACTGTGTAACCCTACCATCATAGCACAAAATCAAGACATAACACATAAATGAATGAGTGTGGCTATGTTCCAATAAGACTTTATAGAAATTTGGATTTCATATAATTTTTATACATCATAAAATATTATTTTGATATTTTTCCAACTGCTTAAAAATGAAAAAAAAAATGGCTCACAGGTCATATAAAGACAGGTGGCAAACCAATTTAGCTTTCTGGCCATAGCTTGCTGACCCTCATATGGAAAAATGAACACTGGATTTAGAGAAGCCCCAGGCTGGAGAACTGCTACTTTTGTTTGTACAATGTGAGACACTGGGTGAGTCAAATGAGTTCAAATAAATTCTTAGGATCTTGATTTACTAATCAATAAGATTAAAGCACTGGATTGGATTAATCTTAAAAGCCCCTTCAGCCCTAAAAACTCTACAGTGGCTTCTGTTTCCACTGGCTGTTTCCAGCGGCTTCTGTTTCCAGTGGCCTCTGCATATAGCAGACTGGGTGAACTTTTAAAAACTTCCTTTCAATACAAAATACATTAAAATTCTGGTTAAAATAAAATGTCATTCGTAACACTCTCACTGAGGCCAGGTGTGTTGGCTTACACCTGTAATCCCAGGACTTTGGGAGGCCAAAGCAGGGGGATCATAAGGTCAGAAGTTCAAGACCAGCCTGGCCAACCTGGTGAAACCCCATCTCTACTAAAAATACAAAAATTACCCAGGCTTGGTGGTGGGCGCCTGTAATCCCAGCTACTTGGGAGGCTGAGGCAGGAGAATTGCTTGAACCCAGGAGACAGAGGTTATAGTGAGCCAAGATTGCACCACTGCACTCCAGCCTGGGCAACAGAGCCAGACTCCATCTATTAAAAAAAAAAAAAAAAACCCGCACTGAGCTGGCGAAAGCATAAAGAAATTCCTCAGAAGCCAAGAATGACCCCAAAAGCACAAATTCAGAGTCCTCGAAAAAGCCCTCAGTCTCTCGGCTTTCCTGGGGATGCCTGCACATCTCTAGTACTCTAGAAGTTCTTCCTCAAACTGATAAAGAGAATGCACAAAAATCCAGCCAGGTGCAGTGTCTCACACCTGTAATCCCAGCACTTTGGGAGGCGGAGGCAGGTAGATCATTTGAAGTCAGAAATTCAAGACCAGCCTGGCCAACATGGTGAAACCTCATCTCTAATAAAAATATAAAAATTAACTGAATATGGCGGTGGGCACCTGTAGTCCCAGCTACTTGGGAAGTTGAGGCAGGAGAATCGCTTGAACCCAGAAAGCGAGGGTTGCAGTGAGCTGAGGTGACACCACTGTACTCCAGACTGGATGACAGTGAGACTCTATCTCAACAAAAAATAAATAAACCAGAATTCTTTCACTTCTTACTAGCCAATTTCTCATTATTATAATCCCTTGTTATAGTAAATAATTTTTAAAATTTTAATATTAAACTTTCCCTGTTGAAATGATTGTGTGGTTGCCTTCTCTTGTTTAGACTCAGGTGTATAAACTCAGGCTACCCTTTTATAAACTCTAGGCTAACAACTGTATTTTTATATCCTAGTATCAATCAGTAGGAAAACAATAAATTGAAAATTCCATTTACAGTCATAACAAGAAACATAAAATGCACAGAAATATATTTAACAAAAGATGTACACGACCTCTTTGCTGAAAACTATGTAACATTGCTGAGAGAAATTCAAGGAGACTTAAAGAAAGAAACATATCACATTTCTAGATGGGAAAACTCAATACTGTTTTGTTTTATTTTATTTTATTTTTGAGACAAGGTCTTGCTCTGTTGTCCAGGCAGGAGGACAGTGACACAATCATAGCTCGCTGTTGCCTCAAACTGCTGGGTTCAAGCAATCCTCCCACCTCAGCCTCCAGAGTAGCTAGGACTGCAGGTATATGCCACCATGCCCAGCTAATTTTTTGGCTGGGGGGGGTAGAGATAGGGTCTTGCTTTGTTTGCCAGGCTGGTCTTGAACTCCTGACCTCAAGTGATCCCTCTGCCTCAGCCTCCCGAAATGCTGATATTACAGTCATGAGCCACTATGCCTAGCCAAAAACTCATTACTTTTAGATGCCAGTTCTCTCCAAATTTATCTGTGGATTTAATGCAATTCTAATCACAATTTCAGAAAGCTTTTTTTTTTAACAAATCAAATAGGTAATTTTAAAATTTGTATGAAAATGCAGAGGCCTAGAATAGCCAAAGCAATCTTAAAAAAAAAGAAAAAGAGGCCAGCACTTTGGGAGGCCGAGGCAGGTGGATCACGAGGTCAAGAGATCAAGACCATCCTGGTCAACATGGTGAAACCCTGTCTCTACTAAAAATATCAAAAATTAGCTGGACATGGTGGCGCACGCCTGTAATCCCAGCTACTTGGGAGGCTGAGGCAGGAGAATTGCCTGAATCCAGGAGGTGGAGGTTGCAGTGGGCGAGATCGCACCATTGCACTCCAGCCTGGGTAACAGCAGCGAAACTCCGTCTCAAAAAAAAATAAAAAAGAAAAAGACCAAAATTTTACGTGACCTGAGTTTAAGATTTATTATAAAATTGTACTAATCAAGACAGGGTAGTACTGGCATAAGAATTGACAAATAGATCAACAGTAAAAGAAAAAATGAGCCCAGAATAGAACCATACCTGTACCATCATTTGATTATCGACAATGGTCCCAAAGCGCTTCAGTGAGGACAGGAAAGTCTATCCAATAAATTGTCTAGAATACTTGATAACATATGGAGAAAACAATAATAAACTTTGCAGTATACCCAGGAACTAATTCAAGATGGATCAGAGACCTAATTATAAAAGCTAAAACCATAAAGCGTTTAGAGAAAAAAAGTGAGAGAATATCTTCATGACTAGAGAAGAGGCAAAAGTTTCTTAGGACACTAGAAGCAGTCATCATCACAGAACATACTGATAAATTGACTTT